GACATTTTCCCTGAAATAAAATAGGCCTTCTCAAGGTCTACAGGGCCAGATCTCTGGGATTAAGATTTCCAACAGCTTTACAAGCAGTGTGAGTGTCCCCGAGACCTCCACGTCTGAGCTGCTGGGGAATGGCTCTGGGGTGCAGGCTGCACTACCCCTCACCACCTCCCAGGACCCAGCCATCCAGAGGCTACTGGAAGCCGTTCATTCTGCTTTCCCAGCTGCCTGGAAGTTTCTTCCCTTTACCTCCCCCCAGGCCTCATCCTCAGCCTTCCGACAATGTTCCATCTGTGGAATTTGTCCTCTTCTTGCCCTCCTTCAGCATCCCGACACCTTCTCTGAGCTGCCCAGGAGAGAGTTCCAGAACAGCTGTAAGGTCATAGATTGCCTCAGCCTGGAGTCCTGTCCCTCAGACTGACCTCCTGTGCCTCCCATCCCCACCCTCTGTCTCATCTGAACTTCCTTCCGGAAGCATCACGAGGGGTCCCAGGCATCCTCCTAACCTCACATGGGTTTTCTCCAAGGGCATCCCCAAAGGTTTCATCCTTTCCCACGTGTTCTCTCCCAGCCTCTCTTTCACACAACCTTCCACCATCTACTCCAAAAGCACATTCAAAACAGGTTAAAAACTGTTCCTGTTGCACTCCTGTAATCCCAGCACTCGGGAGGCTGAGGCAGGAGGATCGCCATGAGCCAGAGGACAGCCTGAGCTATAATAGTGAGTTCCAGGCCAGCCTGAACTACATAGCAAGACCCTGTCTCAAAACAAAAACAAAAACTGTTCCTGCTAAGCAGAAAGCTTCCTTTGGCTTCTAACAAGATTGCTGTGCCTGGGCTCCTAGGAGGTCGAAATTCTAGGAGCTGGTGCCAACACTGATTCTTCCATGGGTGGCTGCATTTCAGGTCAGGCAGCAGAAAACCTGAGCTGTGAAACAGCAGCCTCAAGCTGTGTCTCCAAAGATATCTTGTAGGTCACATGGTTATGAGTTGTGGTAGGAAGGGGGGGCAGTTAGGTCAGGAGGCAGCATAACAACATGAAGAAGATGGAGCCGGAGTGCAGCAGGTTGGAGTATGGGACCTAGCTCCGCCCTTAAACTGTGTGCTTTTGAGTGAGTCACTTCCCTCTCGGGGCTCTTCTTTCTTTAAGTGTTATTTGACAGGTTTGACTAGAGAAAGGGTTTTTAGACCATTTTTCACAGTTAGGTTCCCTTCTCCAACTTTGTTTCAACCTCTTCCAAGTGTCTATTTAAAATTCTGTAGGGCTAGTGTGCACTTCGGCAGCACATATACTGAAAATTCTGTAGGGCCGGGGATTTAGCTCGGTGGTGCTGCCGCCGCCTGCCTCGCAAGTGCAAGGTCATGAGTTCAATTCCCGGTACCAAAATAAAAAAGTAGAAAATTAGAAAAAAAATTAAAATTTTGTAGCCAGGGCCAGGGATTTAGCTCAGTGGTTCCACCGCCTGCCTCATAAGCACAAGGACCGAGTTTGATCCCCGGTACCAAAAAAGAATTCTGTAGCCAGAGTAATACTTTTTTTTTTTGGTACCAGGGATCGAACTCAGGTTCTTCTGCTTGCAAGGCAGGAGGCAGAACCAATAAGCTAAATCCCCGGCCCCAGAGTAATACATTTATAAGCGAGCTCTTCCTTTAGGACATGCCTGTGTGCCATCCCAACATTCTGGGAGGCTGAGGCAGGAAGACTGCAAATTGTAGCCCAGGCTGGACAAATTATCAAATCAGTGAGACCCTGTCTCAAAATTTTAAAAAGGCTGGGGATGTAGCTCAGTGTGAAGACCATGAGTTCAATCCCCAGGACCACCAAAGAAAACAGTTTCTTCCATATTAGGACCAGGAAAGTTTAAAACAATGCTATAGTTGAAAACATTATGCCCAGATGAAAGACGCCAATCACAAAAGACCATTTATATGAAATATTCAGAATAGGGAAATTCGAAGAGACAGGAAGTAGATTAATGGTTGCCTAGGGCTGTAGGGATTCGGGGAAATGGAGGGTGACTGCAAAACTATAGTTTAAATTGGTGAATTGTATGGTATACGATTATATCTTTTATTTTATTTTATTTTATTTTATTTTTGTACTGAGGATCCAATTCAGGACCTTGTGCCTGCCAGGGAGGCGCTATGCTGCTGAGCTAAATCCCCAGCCCTATACGATTATATCTTGATAAAACTATTACTTTGAAAAATAAGGTTATAATTCTAAATTTTTATAGTTTTCATTAATGTTGAAGGACTGTTTACTGCATGGTTTATCTCCTCAGTCATTCCCTATTTTTTTTTTTTTTGGTAGCGGGGATTGAACTCGGGTCCTTGTGCTTGCAAGGCAGACGCCAACACCACCGAGCTAAATCCCCGGCCCTTTTTTTTCCTTTTGCAGACAGAGCCTCACTATGCAGTGCAGGCTGGCCTGGAACTCGCTACGTGGCCCACGCTGGCCTTGAGCTTGTGCCCGTACTCCTGCCTCACCCTCACTGTCACACCTGCACTATCACACCTGGTCTTTAACTTTTTTAAAAAACAGCTTTTCTTCTTGAGCAAATGTTTAAACACTTTAAAAACTAGAGGGGTTTGAAGTATATAGCTCAATGGTAAAGCACTTGCCTAGCATGTGTGAGGCCCCAGGTTCAATCCCAAGTACTGCAATAAAATTTAAAAACTATAAAGTTAGAAAGAATAATACAAGGGACCCCATGTACCCATCACCCAACTTCAACAATTATCAGCACAATATTGATTCATCTGCATCCTCACCCACTTCTCTCCCCTACACCTCCTGTACTAGATGGTTCTAAAGCAAATTTTAGATATTATATCATTTCATGCATAGACATTTCGGTTTTCATCTCTAAAAGAAAAGGGCTCCTTTAACACAACCACAGCACCATTATCAAACCAAAAATGAATAGCCTAACTCTTTGATATTGCCAAATTCCCTGTCAGTGTTAGTTTCCCCAATTGTGTCACACATTGATTTATTCAAATCAGAATGTAAACAAGGTCCAAACACTAAATTTAGTGATGAGGCTCTTTCTTAAGAAAACAGGTTCTTTGTTCTACAGTATCTTCCATGATCTAGATTTTGCTGATTGTATCTCCGATGGTGTTGTTTACATGTAGCATGCTCTTTTATGAAGTAAATCTTTTGCAGAATCCCCAAAGACAAACTAGATGAAAAACAAAACTTCTCTGGTTGAATCGGAATGGGGGCCATGTAGTGGGCTTCACTGAAACTTCTCTTCTCCTCCTTGGGTCCCTCCAAGGGAAAAACGCCAGGGAACACAGTTTGAAAACTAGAGTCTAGATGATATCCTCTACCTTCAGTGTGTGTGTGTGTGTGTGTGTGTGTGTGTGTTGCCACATGCTCAAAGCTCAGAGAGCTGCCCTATCATTTTTTGGTTTTGATTACTCTGATAAGTTCCCTATCTGGGTCAGTGGCATAGTACACAAAGATATTCAGGGTGGTAGAAGATTAAAATTCACTCTGACTCTTAACAGAGAGTACACAAGCTCAGTACTTTCTCTGCCCTAGGAACTCTTGCAAAGAGCTTCCGGGTGCTAGGTACATCCCTTAATCCCAGCACCCTAGGAGGCTGAGGCAGGAGAATCACAAGTTCAAGCCCAACAAGACCCTATCTCAAAATAAAAAATAAAAAGAGCTGGGGATGTAGCTCAGTGCAAAGGTCCAGGGTTCAATCACTAGTGGGAGACGGGTCCCAAGCGCCCTGCACCTTTGCCTCCCAGGAGTCTGGCAGGGCCATGCCCATTCTCCCTCTCCTTAATATGACTTAGGAGCTGCGCTCCATGGTGTGAAACTGCACCTTCTTATGGTCTCAGTGGTCTCTGGCCCCCAGCGCTTGGGGACACCTGACATTTTGACTGCTGGCATTTTGGCTGGAGCAACTAGCCCCTGCCTTCAGAGAGTCTAAGCAAGCAGATCAGCAAGAAGCCTGGTGAGTAATTAAGACCAAGAGCAGCAAGAGTGAGGGTGGAGGTCTGTATCTGGCTAGGTGATCATGGAAGATGATGCTTTCACTGGGTCTCAATTCCAATCTGAAATTGGTGAGAGAAGAGAAAGGATGTGCAGAGGTGCTAGGCATGGGCAAGGACTGAAGAATCAACCCATTCACTTGGATAGACAATTCAAGGGCGGGGGAGAGCAGTCTGCCTGGGATCATAACTAGGAAGGGAAATCTGCTAAAAACAAACACACTTCAGATCCAAAGATAGAGTGTTTTGTAGTTTAAAGAAGTAGATACATACAAGTATACCCATATGTCCTTCTTCATTGTCAGGGCCCTCCTGCTGAAGACCACCAACTGACACCTGTAGTTGAACAAAATCAGGTTCATTGTCTCATTACAGCAAGAATGTTCACCATGGCGGAACTGAGGCACATTCAGTAAAACGTCATTCGAAAATTGGGATTTGAACTTAACTTGGGTAACTAAGGGGAGAGGTCAGGGAACTGGGCCTTTGCTCTGGAGTGGATGCTGTCAGAAAGTGGGATATCTGGGGCTGGGGATTTAGCTCAGTGACACTGCTCCTGCCTCACAAGCATAAGGTCCTGAGTACCATCCCTGGTACCGGAAAAAAAAAAAGAAAGTGGGATATCCTACTGTTATCCAGAAGGTAGACGAATTAAGCAAGGCTAAAACTGTTATTGTTTTTTATTTGTTTGTTTGTTTTTCAGAGCAGAAGGTAGCGGAGGGAACTCAGCAGCAGCCATCTACAGCACAGGACACTGGAGAGACCATGGCCTGTGGACCTTCCTGCCACAACCCCAGCATGTGGCTGAGAGAATTCTAAAAGAGGAACAACCTTGAGGACAGAGAAGTGGACTGAGAAATGATGCTGACCCTGAACCAGGCCCACACCTTCTCCGGTTTTCCAAGTGCAGAGACTTCCTCTTTCTCCCACGTGACACATCTGTTACTTGTCCTTCGGTCACCCTCCTTTTTTTTTTTTTTTTTGCAGTTCCATGGATTGAACTCAGGACCTTTTGCTTGGCAGGCCGGCTTTGTGCCACTGAGCTACATCCCCGGCCAGTGCTCACCCTCTTTTTGCTCACCCAACACTACCTCCTTGCTCTGAAAGCTCCTTCCTGATCTGGCAAAGACGGACCTGAGTGTAACACTCCCCTGCCCCGGTGCCTGGATTTCCTGCCTGCAAAGTGAGGTATAGTGGGGAAATGACTGTAAGGAAACTTAGTTTCTCTAGTCCTGAATGGCTGGGTTAAAAATAAAAACAAGAAACTACATAGGTGGCATCCATCCTCAGCTTAAGGTCTTCTTATGGGTTCAGGTCACTTCTTGCCTAATATGGTGGTGTACGCCTGTAATCCTAGGTACCCGGGAGGCTGAGCCAGGAGGATTGAAAGTTCAAAGCCAACATGGGCAACTTAGTGAGACCCTATCTCAAAACACATTTTTTTTGTGTGGTACTAGGGATACTAGGAATTGAACTCGGACCTTACACTTGTGAGGCAGGCACGGCGTCACTGAGCTAAATCTCCAGCCCTGCTATTTTATTTTTTGAGATAGGTTTTCACTGTGTTGTCCAGGCTGGCCCAGAACTTATGGAGAAATATATATAATATATATAAAATATATAAAATATATAATAATGAATAAAATAAGTAATTCTCTCTCTCTCTCTCTCTCTCTCTCTCTCTCTCTCTCTCCCCTCAAAACTGGTGATTGGAACCCAGGGCTTTTTTTTTTGGTACCAGGCATCGAACTCGGGTCCTTGCACTTGCACAGCAGGCAGCAAAACCACTGAGCTAAATCCCCAGCCCCCAGGCTTTTTTCTTTGATACTGGGGATTGAACTCAGGACCTTGTGCTTCTGAGGCAGGCGGCGGAACCACTGAGCTAAATCCTTGGCCCAATACGGCCTCATATTTTTATTCTTAGTTGACACATAGTAATTGTACATATTTATCAGGCACAGTGTGACATTTCCATACATACGTACAATTTATTTTTTTTTATTATTATTTTTTAATGGTGAACAGAGACCAGGAGAAATAGTTTTATTTGCGCTGCAAGCTGGAGCCTGAGTAGGACCTGAGATAGTCTACTGAGCTAACGATAGAGAGCAGCTTCTAAAAGGGCAGTTAGGTTCGTCAACCAAACAGACGACTGTATTTCCACGCAGCCTTACAGTTATACAATCAATGAAAGACCTGCTGGGAGCTGGGCGTGGTGATGCACACCTGTGATCCCAGCACTCAGGAGGCTGGCAAATATATTGGTCACTAAGTCACCCCAGCGTGCCATCATTACAAAAGAAGTACAGGTTTTCCATCGTCATGAAATTTCCCCCAAACCCCCAACCATAAGTATTACAAAACAAAGTGCAAAACAGATCACGTTTTACAGATCGTAAGCGTATTTTCAGCATTTAGCTCAGCTATAGATCTATCAAGCAGCGAGGGGATGGTCTGTGCTATCCCAGGGCAGTCCTTCCCATGCTCCTAGGGGGCAGGGCTGAAGAGCAGAGGAAGGGTCGGGCAGGGCAAGGCAGGCGGGGGCACAAGGGCTAATCTCCCCCAGTTCTACGCGCAGCAGCTGAAGCTTGATGGGAGAGCAGGACTGGTTGACACTCGAGGGGAGGGTCCAGGCCCTGTGTTCAGTCAGAGTCACTGCTGGAAGAGGAGGAAGAGGAGGAATGCTTGCCATGCTTGCCATGCTTGTGGTGTTTGTGCGCCTTTTTATGAGCTTTCTTCATTTTCTTCCTCATCTTCTTATCCATCACCATCCCTGGGCACACCATGCCAGGGGCCCAAGGATTCACAGGAGGCATGCCAGGGCACGGAGGAGGATAAGGACCTGAGGGTTGGGGTCTTGGACACACCAGCAGGGGCACAGGATAACCAGGCCCACACGGAGGGAAAGCTGGGTTCCCCGGGGGAACTCCTGGGGCGGGGGGCAGGAGCCAGGAGGAAAGGCTGGACTGGCAGGTGGTGCATGTGGTGGACACACAGGATAGGCACCTCCAGGGCACCCAGGGTTGGGTGGACATGGGTTTGGCCCTTGATACCCGGCACTGGGATTCCACATGTTCAGGTGTTTCCCCCAGCCTTACAGCCCCCAAAGAGGAGTCCATTGCAGGCCAAGAGACCCGCCCCTGGAGGAGAAAGGAGAGGAAGGAGCCCAAGATCCTCAAAGTTAGCCGACACGCTCCTGCCTCCCCATATGTACAATTTACAATGATCCAATCATGAATTTGGCATATCTATCAGCCAGACATTTGTCATTTCTTTGTGTCAAAAGATTTTTATTCCTTCAATAATAGGTATCAGAGTTTTCTGTCACAGTCAGAAATACATGTTCTCGGGGCCTGATGACACACACCTGCAATCCTAGCTACTCAGAAGGCTGAGGCAAGAGGATTGAAAGTTTGAGGCAAGCTTGAATAACATAGTGAGAGCCTGTCCCAAAACAAACAAAATGAATAAAAAGGGCTGAGGATGTAGCTCAGTAATTCAAGCTTGTAATTCAATCTCCTCCAAAAGAAATATATTGCAACACATTTACACTAGCTAAACACACACACTAGATATAATATATAGATGTAAAACAAAAAGTAATATATAGGTATAGGGGTATGGTTATGTCACACTATATCTGTATCTACGTATCTCCTCAAGTTTCCTGAAACATTTATTAAGCACAATGGACTCTGATATTTTCTACTCCATTAAAAAGAATGCTTGTCAGGACTTACTAGAGTTGATTTCCCTCTCCACACTGCTCTAACAAACCCAGTGAATACTCTGGGCCTTTTCACTGCCTATTCCCTCTGCCAGGAGTGTCTTTTTCCTGATCATCCCACCTGGCCCCTGTTCATTCTTTAGACAAGTTAGTGTCACCTGCCCAGAGGTCACCCAAACTAAAATAGCTACTGATCCTTCTCTGTCGTGTGCTCAGTATAGCCTTTATCACTGTGTTTTTCTGGTTTAATGGGTTTTGTTTTTCCCCCAGTAGTGGGGATCAAACTCAGGACCTTGTGCTTGCAAGGCAGGCGCAGTGCCACTGAGCTAAATCCTTGGCCCTATGGTTTAATGGTTTTTTTGTTTGTTTACCTATTTTCTGTTGATTGTCTTTCTCCCTTACTAAACTCATTAGGGCCAGGCCCCTTCTCAGGATTGTGCCTAGAACAGAGCCCCAAGCACAGCAGGAGCTCAGTGACATGGCTGGAAGGAAGCATTGTCCAGACTTTTGCTTGGTTTGGGCCTTGGCCTTCTCTACAATGTACAGAGTTGGACAAGGCCCAGGATCCCCTCCAGCGCTACCCATCAGTCCAGTTTTCCAGGACACACCAGAGCTTGGGCTCCAGAGGTCAGGCTGTTTACCCACAATCCCTTGTACTAGCTGTGAACAGACACTGAAGAAGGATCTTACTGGACCCAGTCAGAGAATAATGGAAAGGCATAACTGGAGCCAGTGGACACATCGAAGACAACAATGCTGGTGTACTTCCTGTATGGTAACTGCTCTACCTACATGGTCCCCCTCAGTCCTCAATCTCAGAGGGTAGAAGAGGGCCTATGGAACACTGTGACACAGTCCACTCAGAGACAGTTGGACCCAGTTCAAAACCAGTATCTGACACATGCAGGGCAGCACAGGTTGAAGGCTGGCACCGGCTCAAGCCTCACCACACAGTTTGAACCCTGGCCCTACCCAATTAGTTGTGTAACCCTGGGCAAATCACTTACTCTTTCTGAGCTTTCTCCTGTCTCAGACGGAAATGGCACTAATTTGCATTACCTTATGTCTTTCCAGCACGTCTCCAGGAAGCCTTCCAGGGGACTGCAAATCTGAAGCAAACCGGGAGTTCCCAGCTGGCCTCCTCCCACTTGACCCATGGGCTCCTGGCCTCTGAGGACAGCACGCAGGCTGGCAGGCTCTGCATGCCAAAGGCCGAGGTCTGGCTCCAGGCTTCAGGACTTTCTGACCTGTGACCTTAGACAACCACCTGCTAGAGGAGCCACAACCTCTGGGAGCCTATTTCCTCAACAAGGACTGTAGACTTCCAGAGCCAGGCCTTCATCCAAACCTGGGACATTCTTCTGATGGCCTTGGCCTCCCCCACCCCTTTCAGGAAGTCCCTGAAGGAGAGCAAATAGAATTGCCACAGAGAGCCCTAAACTTTTGCTCTCCTGGCAGTACTGATTGAACCCCAGACCTCACACAAACCAGGTAAGAGCTCTGCCACTGAGCTACATCCTCAGCCCATTTTTAAAAAACAAATTGAGACAGGGTATTGCTAAGTTGCCCAGGGTAGCCCCAAACTTGTGATCCCCCTGCCTCAGCCTCCTGAGTAACTGGGAATACTTATTTCCTTGCTTGCAGTGCTGGGGATCAAACTCAGGCTTCAAGTATGCCAGGCAAGCACTTCACCACTGAGCTACATCCCTAGCCTTTTCTTTCTTTCTCTTTCTTTCTTTCTTTCTTTCTTTCTTTCTTTCTTTCTTTCTTTCTTCCTTTCTTTCTTTGAGACAGGGTCTCACTTTGTAGAACAGGCTGGCCTTGAACCCACGGCCTAACTTTTATTCTTTTCTGTTTTGATTTTTGAGACAGGGTCTCACTCTGTAACTCAAGCTGGCCTTGAACTCACTATGAAGCCCAGGTCAGCCTCGAACTCATGTAAATCCTCCTGCTGACATTACAGGTATGTGCCACCACACCTGGTGCCTTTTATTTTTAAAAGCCTTTTCTCCCCTCCCCCAGCTTCCTCCAGGTTGAATAGTAACAATTGCCCTCACCCGGCTAATTCTCAGCCCTCTAGCACCTCTCTGGGGCCACCTCCCCAGATCACGGGCATCTTCTGACACAGGCAGCACTAGGTCCAGCTCCAGAGCCCTGGCTGAGGATTGAACTGAGTTAAACAAGAAGGCTGAAAAAGAAGCCTGTGTCCCCCAGGACCCTCAGACACAGTGAATAGCATTCTATTTTGTTTTGTTTTTTGTTTTTGTTTTTTGAGACAGGGTCTCACTATGTAGCCCAGGCTGGCCTCGAACTCATGATGATCCTCCTGCCTCAGCCTACCAAGTGCTGGGATCACAGGTGTGTGCCATCAACGCCTGGCAACATTCCATTCTTGAGGCCTTTGCCCCTATAAGGCACTGTGCTGAGTATTCTCTTCATGTCTTCACTTAAAACTCTCTACAGCTCTATTTGTTCAGTACTATCTTACTGATGATGACACCGGAGCACAACTGGTGGGGTGTGGGTCCTAAATTCATCTGATGCCACAGCTCTTCCTCTGAATCAGGGTGCTGTCACAACAGAACAAACCAAGATCCACAGGAATAGAGTGGGAAAAAATGGCCCAGTGAAGGGAGCTTCTAGGAGAGATAAAGGATAAAAACCCCCAGACAAGTTCAGGACAGTGTTACAAGCACACGTTAGGGAGCATGGAGGGGGCAGAGTGAGGGAGGCGGGGGGCGGGTGGGTAAGTCTGGGAATTCTCAGCAGAAGGTAAGAATGTGTGGTGGGGGCCAGCGGGGTTAAAGAATGGTCAGGGAAGAAGTGCCCGGAGCCCACGCTTCGGAGAGCCAAAGGATCAGGAAGTGGCTGGTATGTGAACTGTGTTTCATTTGTCAAAGTCTAAAAACATACAGAAAAGGAAACACACAGACACACACAGACACACACACACACGCACGCACACACACACACACACACACACACCTCTCTAACCAGAAATGGGGAAAACTGGTCACAGCAACAGCTGAGAAATTAGAGACAGGAATTTCAGGAACTGGGATAACTCAGTGACCTGAGCTTGGAAATTCCACCCCATGACTCGACAAAGCTCTCCAAGCCACCGCCGGTCTTCCCATCAGAGGGAGTGCTTTCCAGCAGCCTGGGCCAGATAGCGGAGGGGGGTGCTCTGCCCAGCCTGTGGGTGTGGGGTCCTCATGTAGCCCTCTCCACAGCAATAATCGCCCCAACCACAAGAATCCTTTACAAGTGCACATTAGATCCCAGCAATCATGTGGAACAGTATTGTCCTGGAGTCACGGCTGAGGACTCAGAGGCACAGAGAGTCAAGTCATTTGCCTAAGGTCTCACAGCAGGCAAATGGCAGCACCAGGGCCTTGCTGAAGTTGCAATCCCTTTGAAGGACTTAATGAAAACTATTTACCCACTACCCAGAAAAAATAATTATAATCACCTAATACACATTTTATATTTAACTTCAAGGGGTTCAAAAAAGTTCCTAAACCCATTTAATAGTAAGGAAAGTAGATAGCAGACCTTAGCTCCCACCTTTATCCCCAGTCCCATAGTCCATAAACAAAGCAACAGTGTCTGAAGGGGGATGGCTTACAACCTCTACTCTCCCAGGACGGGGGCTTCACCCTCCTGGGCTGGATGTGAGTCCCCCAGACTGCTTCGGGTGAGGCAGGGATACGGTGGCAGGTGGCAGGGGTGGGCAGGAAAGCCATACTGGACTCTGGGGAGAAGCCTGAATTGTGCTGTGCTGGAGGATGACACTTTTCCATCGCCCCCTCAGGGTATCCTTTTCTGGCTGAGATTTGGAACTGCCCAGCCTAGGAGAGACGAAGGCCTCCTCCCTTAATTAAATGCCCAGGGGTTACTATGGAAACAAGAGCTTCCAAATCCTGCCCAGACAATGGGGAGAGGAGCTGTCTCCAGCTCAGACAAGCAAAGCTTCAGGGGCCTCACTGGGGACAGGAATGGGGGCCAGACGGTGAGAAAGAGGGGGTGCCAACCAAAGAGCCCCGCCTCCCCTGGAGCCAAAAGTGTGGGAAGGGGCCTCTGAGAAGTGAGGGGTTTGTCTGAGCCAAGCAACCCTCCTGGAAAAGGGGAAGGGAATGGGGGGCGGGGGGCGGGAGCCAGGAACTGAACACCTCCTTTGTTCCCAGCCCAGCGGAGAAAGCCAGCCAAGTTGGTAAACAAAGGGAAGAGGCCAGAGGGTGGACAGCTCAGCGATAAGGCCTGGGACTGTGAAGAACTGAGTAAAGGAGCCCAGAGAAGGAAGGGAGATCTCCAGAGTCCCAAGGACAGGCCCCATTGGCAGTGACTTTGCACACACAGGACACATGTGTGACAGACAGGCACCTCTACAGAAACTCTGGTCCTTGGGAACTCCAGCCCCCAGCGTTCCTCTGTCCCCCACCTCTCCTCTCCTCTGGAGCCCTTTTTGGTCTATCCTCTGGAGTGTCTGTTCCAGGAAGGTCAAGGGCTGTCTTCTCTTTAAGCCTGAACGCCTGCAGTGGGAGTGCCACATAGATGCTTCAGGGACTTGGGCGGCTCGTGGGTTCGTTGTGTCTTGTGGAGAGGAAGGACCCCTTTTAGAAAGATGACAGTTCCAAAGTTCATGCCAGGCACTGTGCTGAAAGCAATATAGCCTGTTACTTACATCCCCTATAACTCTGGGAGGTAGAAATTAAGCTCTTTTTACAAGAGAGTGGAACCTGAGGGAATTACGTACATCAGGCCAGGGCTCCAGCCAGCAAGTGGCAGAGCTAGGATTGAAACTTAGGTTTGTCTGACTCTTCCTAATTTTCCTATCTTTGCTTCAAAAGCTTCTGGGAAACTTTTCTGAGTAAGCCCACTCTGTTCTTACACCTTCATTCTCCCACTCAGTGTTACCTAAATACTTCTACAGAACCGGTGCCCAGTTTATAAGCTGGTTATTTAAAGGGTTTATGCATAATTTGGTTGTTTGGAACCAAAACACATTTTTTCCCACAGGGAAAAAAAAAGTGTTAAATGGGTCCAGAAAGACCACTTGACCAGAATGCCGCTGACAGTGGTACATCTAGTTGAGGACTAGCCTGGGGCCACGGCCATCATTAATAATACTGTTTCCTAGAGAAGTACATCTGGTTCCAGGGCACAAGAGAAAGTGATTTCTTTTTTTTTTTTTTTTGGCACCAGGGATCGAACTTAGGTCCTTCCACCTGCGAGGCAGGCGCCGGAACCACTGAGCTAGATCCCCGGCCGAGAAAGTGATTTCTTTCCACACTTTCTGCTCCCTCTGCTCCTGCATCCTGTGGCTGGCTCTGTTTTCTATCCCATGCAGTGCTGGGCTTGGGGGGGTGAAAATAAAATATAAACATGGGTGCTGACCCAATGGAGCATTTCCTGTGAAGTCAGACCTGGGTGAAAAAAGGTTAAAAAACCAAACCTTCAGAGCTGCAAAACACTGCACAGGTGGTGTAGAGCAGGCTCGAGGGTGGAGGAGGGAAGCAAGAGGGCTGTCTGCAGGTGTTAAGGCTGAAGCTCTACTGGGCCAAACCAAGACCAGCAAGGGACAGGGCATCAGAAGTTTCTTTGGTAAAGGAAGAGCTTCCTATTAAAATCTCTTTTAAAAATGGACCTCTTGGTGAAGCAGTAAGTTCTCTGCTACGAAGAGTATTCACAAAGGGAGAAAGCAGTCCTGGACTGGTGGACCTCGGAGAGCCCTCTAAATTCTTAAACCCACATAGCGAAGTGATGGGGTCTATGCCAGGAACAAAGAGAGGGTCCTTGCCCTCCTGGAGTTTACACCCAAATGGGACGGTCTGGTATGAAATAAATAAACACAACTGAAAACAGGAAATTGTAAAGGTGACACAGGCTATAAAAGGTACATGGCCGGGTGCTCCTATGAGGGGCTCAGAAGGGATCTCATTCAGCCTGGATCTGAGAGGGCCTCCTCACTGAGGCAGAGATCTGGAGGCTAAGAAGGGGCCTGGGTGTGTGTGCATGGGGAGGGTGTGTTCAGAACAGAAGCAAGAGCATGAAAGCAGGCCCTGGGTCAGGGAAGCGCAGTGTGATCGGACAATTGTAGGTAAAGGAAGAACTCCAGGGACACTATTGACAAGAGAGAGGGGGCTGCATCTTATAGACTTCTGTGGGAGAAGAAACACCCTGACCTTCTCCCCACACCCCCAGACCCACTATGGTACTGGGAATTGAACCCAGGCCATTCTACCACTGAGCTACATCCCCAGCCTTTTTTGTTTTAAGATAGGGTCTTACTAAATTTCCCAGGCAGGCCTGGAACTTGCAATCCTCCTGCTTCAGCTCCCCATCCTGGTGGGATAACAGATGAGCACCCACTTGATCTTATCTCTTATGGAGTTGCCCCTTTCCATCCAGCCCTGACCCCTAGCCAGAGTCTTCAGCAGCTCCACTGAGTGGAGTGGGGAGGACTCATCATAACTCACAGCTCTGCCCACTGTCCTGGGGCTTCTCCAGCAGCAGGTGCTCCTTGTACCTGGTCAGCGACCTAGGAGGTGGCATAGTAGAAGTCTTACCTGTCATGTAGGAGGCCCAAGTTCAGTTTTTAACTCTTGAAACTCCTTTCCCTCTCAAGAGGTAGCATAGTTTACTGGTGAAAAGCACAGACTCTGGCACCAGCCTTCCTGACTCTCTCACTTGCTGTTTGACCTTGCCAAGTTACTTAACTGCCCTGTGCCTCAGTTTACCATCTGTAAATAAGGCTGATGATCATGCCTATCTCTTAGAAGTATTATGAGCTAATATTTACCATGGGTTTAGGACAGTGCTTGGCCTACAGCAAGTACTATATGTGTTTGTGAAATAAACTGAATCACTGGCAATGAACAAATGCCTCCCTTTTGGTCTCATCCCTTAGGACCTCATCAGGGGCCCAGGGCCCAGGTCTGCTGCTCCCTCTCCAAACCCACTTTTCTGTCCAAGGCTGCCTCAGGCCATAACTCTGGTACTTTAAAAAGTGGGTGGAGCTGAGCTCACCCCCAGCCAGCCCTCCGCAATCCCCAGAAGGAAAGATGTTCTTGAGGGTAGGCTGCAGTGAAACCCAGGCCTGCTCACCTGGCTCCCTCTCTCCCCTCCAACTGTTTTCCAAGGCTGAGAGTTTTCTGAACACACCAAATGTCACTGACCTACCTCCTGCTGGGAGCCCCACTTCCTGGACTCTGGGCCTGATCCCTACTAAGCCTGAATTTAATGCTCTGCCCACAGGATCTCAGACCACACAGTGGTCTTCCCCACTTGGAACCTCCACTTTGCATCCTAACCACTGGCTTTCTGTCCCTGTCCTTGAGGGTGGCAGCTGTCTCCTTGCCTCTGCTGCATCCCAGGGCTACACACGGCACTCACCCCAGCCTCCTTTCTTACTGCTCCTCCCCTGGCTTCTCTGCATGCAGCCACACGGGCCTCCTGTTGGGCTACCAGGTTTGCTGTTCTCCCTCCTGGGGCCTTTACCAGTGCTTTCCTCCCTGCCCGGAGTGCTCCTCTCAGGTCCTCTGTTGGCCTCTGCAGGGCCTCGCTCCCCCATCACTTCCTCCAGGAAGCCTGTGTGCAGTCCCTGGCTGGTAGGTAGGTGGCCCTCTTTGGGGGTCTCCCAGAACTTACATTTCCCCTCTGGGGGTGAGCTTCTGTATTTGTCTGAGGCTCTTGATGCTCTGTAAAGCTTAGTCAGGGCAGAATCACCCTCACCTAATTTGCCGCTGTATCTCCAGCCCTCAGCACAGGACCAGTACAAAACAGATAGGGAGGGGCTGGGAGTGTAGCTCAACAGTACAGCATTTGCCTAGCGTTTGGGAGACCCCAGTTCCACACACACGAACACACACACAATGGAGGGACTTATATCTGGAGCCTGTGAAGTTCTAGGGGGTTCATGAAGCTACTGGAATCATATGAAGATGTTTGTACTGTAATGTATTCTTTCTGGGAAATAGTCTATATTTTATCATAATCTCAAAAGATATGAGACACCACCCTCCCCCAAAAAGGTTAAGAGCCATTTCCATAAAAACTTGCTTTGATTGGAAGTATCTGTTCTTAAATATAATAATTAATACTTAGTAAACAGTTATTGGATGGATGGATGAATAAGCCTCCTCCACAGGGTAAGGGTGTTCTTTTTTTTTTTTTTTGTACCGGGGATGATCGAACTCAGGACCTTGCGCTTTCGAGGCAGGCGCTGGAACCACTGAGCTAAATCCCCGGCCCTAAGGGTGTTCTTAATGTTGTAAGAGATAGAGAATAATCTCAGAAGAAGCCTTTGCCGGGAAAAGTTAAAGTGTGGCTTGCTTCTGCCCCTGACCCTGCGGCCCGAAATAGACCTCCCCTCAGTGTAGCCCACAGCTTGTGACCAACACTCAGTGGCTCCCAGGCCCTGCCTGAACCCATCTCCTGCCCTGAAATCCACCTACTGTGCCTTTGCAGCCTGTCTGCTGAAAATAGCCCTGGCGAAAGTAGGGGATGGGGTGGGAGCTGAAAGGAGTCCTGCAGAAGCTTTGACAAGGGACACTGCCCTCTGCTGGCTGGTCAGCTCCCCTTCAGCAGGTGCGGAGGGCCCGGGGTCTGGAACACCGAGGTCCAGGCCAGGTCAAGGAAAGGGAGCGAGGCGAGGGGACCCTGAGCCCTGAGCAGTCTTTCCTCGGCGATGAGGCTTTGTCTAAAAAAGGAATCGGGGCGGAGGCTTCTGCTTTCCCAGAGCTTCTTTCCCAGGGCTCATGCCTTCTGCTCCCGGATTAGTTCAGGGAGGCAGGGGCGTGGTGTGGGTGGATGGAGGCGCTTCTGGAGCTCCGGGGAGGTCTAGCCTTTCGGGCTTGGCTTTCTTATCGATTTCTTTTCCCTGAGCCCGGCTACTGTCGACACCTTTGGATCCTGAGCCAATTCTCTGCATCGCCTACACTTGGCTGCAGTGTACCAACCTCCCCACATTACCATGGAAACAAGAGCTCTGCATCCATCCCAGACCTGATTTGTGAAGCTATGAGAAGAATCAGAATTTCAGGGAGGGGACCCAGAGAGACACAGAAAGGGCAAAAGGGGAAACGGTCACAGAAATGGGGGGCGGTCCTCGGGGTGGAGGGGTGTGCTTTATAAAGGTTATTGAAGAACGAGTACCCTGTGAAGAAGGTCAGACTTGTTGACAGACCATAGGCGCAGTCCCCTCGTGGGACATCAGTCCACCGGACTCCTCCCCACAGGCGTCATTTAGGAACTGTATAACCTTGCGTTAACTTCTCTGAGTGGCACTTTTCTCATCTGTAAAATAAAAATAATAGTGGCACTTACTTCACTGGGCTATTGTAAGAATCCCATGAGGTAATGCACACCCAGCGCTTGATTCAGTGCTTAACATATAATGAGTGCTCACAGGTGTAGTTGTTGCTGCGCATGCTTTTGTATCTATATTTATTATATGTTACTTCCTCTGCTCACTTGCCAGCCCCCCCCATAATGTCTTCATAATCCCTTCCACTTATCAGAGAGCTTTCACAAACATTGTTCCATTCGTCCAACTCCAGCCCTGAAAAGCAGGGAAGGGTTCCTCTCCAAACTCTGGACATGAGGATATATTCAGAGTGCAAGTTTGTTCAAAGGCTTGGTTCTGACTGGTGCTGAGATGCAGGGCTTGGCCAGCAGGAGTTGGTTGCCCTGTGCACTTCTGAACTCTCTGCGTCGCTGTCCGCAGCACAGTGCCACAGTCAGCACCAGTTCGGTGACACTCCCTGAGCAGGAGTTCCTGCAAAGAGTTGAGCCTGAAAAGTGGGCATTGGAGGGCCGGGGATGTAGCTCAGTGGTTCTGCCACCTGCCTCACAAGCACAAGGTCCCAAGTTTGATCCCTGGTACAAAAAAAAAAAAGAAAAAGTGGGCGTTGGGGTTTGGCCATGATGGAAGCAAATACTTTTAAGTGAATCTATGATCTTAAACGTTCCAAGAAAACAGAAAAATATAAAAACATCCTACAAATGGGAAGTGGTTGTGGCTTCTTTATGAGATAATGAAAATGTTCTAAAATTGATTGTGGTGATGGTTGCACAACTCTGTGAATACCCTACAAACATTTAGTTGTGCATTTTAACTGGGAATTATATTGCAATAAAGCTGCTGGGGTTTAGAGGGGATTTTGTTTTTGTTTTTTGAGACACAGTCCTCATTTTCATATGCTAGCAACAAACAGGAACTCTTTGAAAAGATGCCATTTACATTGACTAAAGGTACAAAATATCTAAGAATAATTTTAACAAAATATGTTTAAGACCTCTACCAGAAATACTATATATAGCAAGTATTGAGAGAAATGAAGGAAGACTTAAGTAGAGGGATATAACATGTCCATTAACTAGAAGACATCAAAAAATGACAGCTCTCTCCAAACTTATCTAAAATCACTGCAGTCCCCATTGACAAGCTGATTTATGAATTTATAGAGAAACTCAAAGGAAGCCAGGCATGATGGTGCAACCCTGTAATCCCAGTATTCAGGAGGCTGAGGCAAGAGGATTGCTGTGAGTTCAAGGCCAGCTTAGGCTACACAGTGAGTTCAAGGATGGCCTGAACTACACAGCAAGACCCTGTTTCAAAAAGAAAGAAAGAAAAATGAACAGTATACAAGAAAACAAAAACAGTGTAGCTAAGCGGTAGGGCACTACCATGCACAAGACCGTGGATTCAATACCAAGCACTGCAAAACAGAAAAGAAAAGAAAAGAAAGAAAAAGAAAAGCAGAAAGAAAAGATTGAGTATTATGGTATATGAATTAATTTTTGTTTTTTGTTTTTTTTCTGGAGACAGAGACTCATTGTGTGGCTCAGGCTGTCCTCAAACTCACATGCAGCCTAGGCCAGCCTCGAGCTCAAGAACCTCTTCTCTTGGACTCCTGAGTGCTGCAAGTACACCACCCACCCGGTACATTTTTTAATTAATTTTTTCAGTACTGCCCTTTTAAAATTCTTTTATTTTGAGAAAGCGTCTCAGCAAGTTGCCCAGGCTGGGCTCAAACTTGCAATCCTCCTGCCTCAGCTTCCCAAAATGCTAGGATTACAGCTGTGCACCACCATACCTGTCTTAATTACAATTTTTTAAAAAAGAAAAGAAAGTGGAAAGGTAAGCCACAGGCTAGAAAAAGAAATTTGGAATATATACACTGATAAAAGGACATATCCAAAATATAAAAGTATCTACTACAAATCAATAAAAGACACAACCTAGTCTAAAACTATGCAAGAAACCCCATGAAAGAGGACATCCAAATGGCAAATAAACACGAAAAGAGCAAATCCGGATTTGCTTTCCCTGCACATAATGTTTCTGCCAAAAGTGCCATCCGTGACTTACAGGATGCCTCACTCACTGGCACGGTCTTCCACACAGCATTGCCTCTGATCAAGGAATTCACTTCATAACCCATGAGACATGGCAAGGGGCCAGCACTCATGACATTACCTGGCCTAACCCTGCTCCCAGCCAGTCTGAAGTGGCAGACTTGAGGAAACACTAGCCTAGCCTTTTGAAGCCGCGGTCACAGAGCTAGCTCGTTGGCAATGCCATGCAGGGCTCAAGCAGGACCCCCACACACACACAGCAGCAATCTCTAACCTACAGTGTTGTTACCCATGTGACCCACTAGAAAAACTTTGTTTTTTGGGCTTGGGATTTAGCTCAGTTGTTCTGCCGCCTGCCTCAAAAGTGCAAGGTCCTGAGTTCAATCCCCGATACCAAAAAAAAAAATTGGTTTCCTAGGGCCAGGGATTTAGCTCAGTGGCACCGTGCCTGCCTTGCAAGTGAAAGGTCCTGAGTTTGAGCCATGGTACAAAAAGAAAAATTGGTTTTCTGTTCCCCTGATCGCATGCTTTGCAGACTTAGACCTCTTTTTTTTTTTTTTTTCTTGCTGCTGGGGATCGAACTCGGTACCTCGCGCTTGTGAGGCAGGCAGCGGAACCTGTGAGCTAAATCCCCGGCCCCACTTAGGCCTCTTAATTCCACAGTGGTGCATGCCTGTAATCATAGCACTTAGGAAAGGCTGAGGCAGGATAGTGTGTTCCAGTCTAACCTGGACTACAGCGTGGGACCCATCTCACGGGAGACACAGCAATGATTCCACAGAGCTGGAAACCGAAACTTCTTCCTGGCCACTTTGGTTTCTTCGTATCTCTGAACCAACAGTCTAAGAAGGAAATCTGAGGGTTACAGGGCTTGGGATGTAGCTCCGTGGTAGAGCACTTGCCTAGTGCACATAAGAACCTAGGTTCCATTCCCAGCAGTACCAAAAAAAAGTGGGGGGGGGCAGAAGCAACAACAGCAACTATAACATTCTGAGAGGCTGAGGCAGGCGTATTACAAATTTGAGCCCAACCTGGGCACTGGGCAACCTAGCAACTGAGACCCTGTCTCAAAATGAAAAATAAAAATGGGCTAGTGGGCCGGGGATTTAGCTCAGTGGTTCCGCCGCCTGCCTCGAAAGTGCAAGGACCCGAGTTCAATTCCCAGTACCAAAAAAAAAAAAATGGGCTGGGAGTGTAGCTTAGTGAGAAGGCCCTGGGTTCAATCCTCAGGAACACACACACACACACGCACACACACACACACACACACACACACACAAGTTATGCTGTTGACAGGGGTGATTGAAACTTACTCCAAAGAGAGACTGTGGGACCGTGGCCCTCTGTGGAGGTAAGAGTGTCCCGAACACAGGAGATCTCTTCAGGCGGCCCTTAGTTTCACTGTGCCCTCCGACTAAGGTCAATGGAAAAACCACAAGTTTCACTAAAGGGAAGGCAGAAGAGGAAGTGTAAGAAGGTAGTTATAAATACCGGATGTGACCAGGTGACCAGTACAGATCCAAGGACTGTTTTGCTTGCTTTGTTATGAAGATATTTGTGTGTATACATAGTAAGCAATATCTTTGCTTTCTGCTCTCTTTCATTTCTTTGTCATGTAACATAGATGTATCAACTTGATATAGTATTTAAATATTCAGTATTCGAGTGTTATTAATTTCACCTCATAATATTTGAATTATAGGTTATCAGAAGAGTAAACATCACCCAAAGATGTTACCTTCTCTTTTGGGTAAGGGGTTATGTGTATTTTATTTATTTATTTTGGTTCCAGGGATCAAACTCAGGACCTTGCACTTGTGAGGGAGGCGCAGTGCCATTGAGCTAAATCCCCGGCCCTATGTGTATTTTATTGTACACAGGATAATGTTAGACAGAATTATGTCTCTGTTCTTAGCATTTTTATTTTTTGAGGTAAGTTCTTGCAATGTAGCCTCTATTCTCCTGCCTCAGCCTCCTGAGTGCTGAGATTACAAGCACATGCCACCACACCCAGCATTGTTATTGTTTCTGTTTAGAGATTAAATACAGTTTGAGATTCATACATGCGCTAAGTTGGCAAGGAGTGGGCCTGTGATGGTTAATATCTATTTATTGGTTTATTTATTTATTTTTGTGGTATTGGGGATTGACCCAGAGCCTCCACACTGAGTTACACCCTCAACCCCCCCCCCCCCAGTACTGGGGATTGAACTCAGGACCTTGAGCTTGCCAGGCAGGGGCGGTGCCACTGAGCTACATCCCTAGCCCCCCCTCAACCCCTTTTTATTTTTTATTTTGAGACAGAGTCTTGCTAAATTGCCAATTTGCTAGATTGAGCTCAAACCCTTGATCCTCAAGCCTCAGCCTCAAAGGGGATGGTTAATTTTATGCGTCAACTTGACCAAATGATGGAGTACCTGACATGTCGCCAGACGTTTTGTGTGCGCTGGGGAGGGTGCTCTGGATAAGATTAACAGTGAGCCCATAGACTGAGTAAGGCAGTCATTCTCTTCAAGTGGGTGACTTCACCCAGTTTTTTTTCTTTCACCCAGTTTTTGAAGATCTGGATGGAAGAGAAAGGATGAGGAAGAGGGGACTCTCCCTGCCCCCCTGTTTGAGTTGGGACCTTGGTCTTCTTTGGCCTCTGACTCAGACTGAAAAACAGCTGTTCTTGGCCTTCAGCTGGCCCACTCTCAGGCTGCCCACTCCTCGTCTCCAACTTGCCAGCTACAGATCTTCTCAGGCTCCATAATCAAGTAAGCAAATTCCTTGTAATAAACACACACACACACACACGCACACATGCACACACACTCTATTGGTTATGTTTCTCTGGAGAACCCTATATGAGCATTACATTTCACATTAGAAACAATTTTGAGAGCAAGGCATGGTGGTGCACTCCTTGTAACCCCAGGACTTGGGAGGCTGAGGCAGGAGGACCACTGTGAATTTGAGGCCAGCCTGGACTATATAGCGAGACCCTGTCTCAAAAAACAAACAAAACAAAACAAAAACAGTTATGAGGCATATTTTACATGTCACATAATCTATCCTTTTCAAGTATAAAATCCAATTTTTTTGAAACTAAATTTCCAAGGTGAATAATACATCTCAGTTGTAGAACATTTTCATCATCCCAGTATGATCCTCAAGCACCTTTACTATTAATCTCACCACCCCTCCTCCGGGCAATGGATAACTATCCTGGTTCAAGCTCCCATAGCTCATTACCATAGGCTGGGTGGCTAAAACAATGGGCTGAGGAAGCCAAGATCAAGGCACCAGCAGATATGGTGTCCGGTCAGGGCCCTCTTCATGGCTGCTGACAGCAGAGTTCTCCAGGCGTCCTCACAAGGACGAGACAGCACTCATTCATCTCCACTTCTAAGGTCACGAATCCCATCACAGGAGTGCACCTTCACCATGTTGTCCAAATCTTATTACTTCCCCCAGGACTGTGCCTCCTGATATCACCCTGTTAGGGGGTTAGGGGCAATTTGCTTTCTGTCATTATAGCTTGGCCCTTTCTGAATATTTCATATGAATGTTGTGATACAATGGTCTCTTGTGTCTGGCTTTTTCCACTGAGAATAATGCTTTTGAGGTTCATCCACATTGTAACAGGTATCCATAATTTTGTTGTTTTGTTTGGTTGGTTCGTTTTTGGTTTTGTTTTGCTTTGTTTTGAGACAGGGTCTCCCTATGGAATACAGGCTGGGCTTGAACTTGCTATGTAGCCCAAGTTGGCCTCGAACTCATGGTGATCCTCCTGCCTCAGCCTCCCCAGTGATGGATTATAGGCTTGCAGTATCATACCTGGCAATTTGTCGTTATTTCTGAATAATATTCCATTGTATCGGCATAGCATATTTTGTATACCCATTCATATACTGATGTACATTTATGTTGTTTTTAATTTTTCCAATTGGGCTATTAGAGTGATACAGTTTGCCAGGCACAGTGGTACATACCTGTAATCCCACCACTGGGGAGCCTAATGCAGGAGGATTGCGATTTTGAGGCTAGCCTGGACTACAGAGCTAATTCGGGGTTAGCCTGGCTACACAGTGAGAATCCACTCAAAAGAAAAAAATGATAATTAATTTTCTTGTTTAGTTTGATTTTCCTGGTACTGGGGATCCAATCTAGGGCCTCGCACATGCTTCTACCACTGAACTACATCCCAAGCCCTTTCATTTTATTTTTGTCTTGCAATCTCCCTGCCTCAGCCTCCCAAGTAGCTGGATTATAGGCACACCCCACCGCATCCCGCTGAAATTAGTTTTTGAGAGGTGGAAGGATCCTTTCCCAAAAACTGACCGCGGTCCTCCAGCGGGCAGGGGGCGCTCCAAGAAACGGCTCTTCTTCCAGCCTCTCACAGGGGCGTCTTAACACGATCTTTGTTGCTAGGAGACCAGAAGCATCATTCCGCTGGAGAGACGGGGTCTGGCGAATAGCTCCGACACTCTCTTGCCCCAGAGCTGAGCTCTACGGTTCTGCTTCCCCCCTTCGGTAGTGCCAGGGGCAGTTCCAGAAGGCGCCTTTCCAGGGGTTTCCCTTCTGTCCTCTCTGACGTGAGCGGAGGCTCCTTACCCAGATCCAATCCCCCCACCCCCACCCTGAGCCATGCCTAAGAAGGGGAAGAAGGCCAAGACGTCCCTGTCCAATGAGGAGCAGCTGCTTCTGTTTCAGCAGAAGTTGCTAGCCGAGGAGGAGATGGCCAAGAAGAAAGAAAGGCTCCTCAGCCAGTTCTTGAAGGTGATGGCCTTCTGCATACTGACTTGCCCAACCCCACCCGCCCCTGTACTGGCCCTGTCCCCTGGTCCCTGTCATTGTGGCTCATTTTCATACCGGCATTGCATCCTCAGGAAATCCTGAGACCCACATTCACTTGGGGTTCTGGCAGTCTTGTTTGGGAGGTGGGAAAGTGCTCTGTGAAGCATGGAGGAAGCAGGTGGAACAGAGGTTGACATCTCAACTGAACCGCAGAACTGGGGCAGTGGATGCTGTCAGCTGTCTGAATTCAGCTGTCTTGAATTCTGATATTGTCCCTGGGGGGTGGAACAACATCCAGGTCTGATGCTTTGTTGTGAAGGAAATGCATTCTGGCCTTCCCTAAAATGCCATAAGGCTGTTTGCAACTTACTCCAGCCCACCCCCCAACAAAAATAGGAACCCCTAAGTATTTATTTTTTCACTACTGGGGATTGAACTCAGGACCATGTGTTTGCAAGGCAGGCATGGTGCCACTGGGAACCCCTAAATATTAACCATCAGGAACCTCGGTCCCTCAGAAAACACCAGTGGTAAAACACCAGCTTACAAATTCAGAGTGAGCTTGATTGTTGTGCTGTGTCGCCAGGGTTTGGGGATTTACCTCTTGGAGGTGTACTTACTCCTTCACACAGGACAAGCTGGCCAAGGAGGAACAAAACAGTGCCCTGAACCTTAATAAGATTAACATGCAGTGGAGAACTGTCCTCCGGGAAATCAAGACCAGAGAGCTTCACAAGGACATCGAGATCCTCAGCCAAACATTTGAGCGAGTGATGGACTGCAAGGACAATGTCATCAAGGTAGGCACTCTTTCCAGGGAAACACTGGAGTGCAGCCTCCATACCCTCCTCATAGAATGGTCCTAGTCAATTCATTAACCAGCCAGTCTTGAAGCCCTCACAAGACACAGTCTGGCAAAGCCAGGTCATTGGTTTTCACTGAAATGAAAAACAGAATATTGAGCTGTGGTTTATCCCCTCCCTCCTTTATAAGAGACACTCTCTTTGGTCATCTATGACCCTAAACCAGTATAATGCAATATCAGAGCTGTAAGACACAGTTAATATTACTCAGTGAGTTGAACTTAGGTCCACATATTTATTTCAAGGTCAGAAGGCTCAGTTCAAGACGGGAACTGATGGGGGCTGTGCGCATGGGTATCTGGGAACTAAACCCTCCACCATTCCACCTTTGCGGAAGTGGCCCAAGCGCTCCTGGGATGGGCGAGCTCCCTGAGTAGGTGCTGATTCCTGCAGGTGACAAGCTGCAGCTCCAGCAAATCACTGACCCCACTTATGCAGCTCAGTCTTGGAAGCACTGAGTCCTCCCAGTGACTGAGATTTTCCATCCATGAAGCTACCAGACAGATCTGCAAAGAATATCCTCCCTGGAACTCAGTCCCACATCTACAACGTGAGGAAATGTAGCCTGACCTGGCAACATTCAAGTCTTCCTGAGTTCAACATTTCTGAAATGGAGCTCCCCTGCTGCCATCCCAAGCTCCTAGGGCAGAGAAGGTGAGCCGGTCCCAGCACCCGGAAGGAAGCTCCCCCACCACCATCCCAAGCTCCTAGGGCAGAGAAGATGAGCCGCGTGAGTGCCAGAAGCACCCC